TGGCCCGGCCTGGCTGCGGGGTGCGGTGGGAGCTGAGAGCTGCACGGGGCGCACGCTGCGCGACCTGCCCGCTGCACGGCTCGCCTCACACTGAGCCCTGCCCGCCCGCCGCCGGCGCCTCATAAACCGCCTCACCGCCCGCCCGGATCGCTCCGCGCCGCTCCCTCCCCCCTCCCCTTCCCCCGGCAGCGAGCGGAGCTGCGAAACGAGTCCCGGCCCTTCGCGCCCTTCTAGGCAGGGCCCCCCCGCGCCCAGAGCGCGGCCCCTGTGCCCCTAAGCCCCCGAGCCCGGGCGCACGAAAGGGTGAGGTGCAGGAAAAACTGGGGTCTGCGCTTGTGAAACGATGTGGAGAGGAGCGGGGGTGCACAGGGGGGCAGGGCGAGGGACTATTTCCCTGGGCGGAAGGGGATCTTAGGAAAAAAATGCCGAGGAGTGCAGAGACTCCGTAAGGAGGGCGCTGATTGGTGGGTTCGTACCTGCAATGCGTCACTCGGACATGCACAGTCTGGGCCGGGAACGCGGTTCCCCCTCCCCCCGCCCGCAATGCGTGAGGGCCCGGCAGGGCCGGGGCCGGCCCGGCCCCGTCGGCACCCACGGTGGCCGGGACACGGCCGCTGTCCCGCTCCCTGGGCACCGAGCGGGAACAGTATCCCTGGGACCGCGTTTGCTAGAATGTTTGGAGCCTTTATCTCGCTGTGCCCCGGAAAGCCTCACCCACACAGAGTTACTAAATGAGACTCGCTCCGCATCCAACACAGTGCAGAAAAAAAATTCCCATCTCGCGCTGCAAGCCAGAGATGCTTCGTCGTTTGGTAGCGTTGTTTAAAAGAACAGATTTATCAGAATCAGTTAGGTTGGAAATGACCCCTGAGATCATCAAGTCCAACCTTTGACCGAATACCACCAAGTGCCATCGTCCAGACTTTGCTGGAAGCAAACACCTCCAGGGACGGTGACTCCACTGCCTCCCTGGGCAGCCCATTCAAATGTCTAATCACCCTTTCTATGAAGAATTTCCCCTAAAGTCCAACCTAAACCTCCCCAATTAGACATTTTTCCCGTTTCTCCCTGTTAGGAACGGTGTACACCCAAATCCTGTGCCTGAGAACAGGTGGCCAGAAATTCTGAGCTGAAATCTGGAGTCTTAGCACCATTTTCTGTAAGATGCATTTGGGCAAATAGCTCCAGACATAACTTTCAAACTTGCATGTATATTTTAAAAGACAATTCGGCAATGTTGGCTGAGTTCAGTGAAAGCAGACCAACCTGCCATCTCTGAAAACCACAACACTCATTTTTGGGACGATAAATCCATTATTAAACTTGGGGGGCCTGAGTTAAAGTTTTCTGACCTAAGTTTGAATACAAATTACCAATCACATTTCAATACAAATTACCTACTTCCATATCTACTGAAGGAATTATTTAGTTGGTATTTATACAGTATTTTATACCTATCTACTCACTGTTATTACAAAAACTAGAGCAATGGCTCTCACTTCGCACGCTAAAGAGGTTTCAGTCATCTCTGCTCTTTGCAGTCTCTTTGGTTTATAGGCCATAGAAATAGGATGTGCCTGGGAGGGGACTGGCATGAACCAACTCTTTAACAGAAATTTTGTGAGGTTTTTCCCCCTGAATATTAATGGAAATCCTCAAGCCTGATTTCTTTTCCGGATAGCCTCGTGTCCACCAAATTCAGTAAAAAAGAGGGGAATAAAAAAAACCCCAAACCCAGAACAAGACCTGATTTCTTAAAATAATTAGGCACCCCTTGACTGAGTCCAGTGGCTCTCATCTCTCTTCCTCACTTTGTGATCATAGGGAACACAGAAAACAACACTTAAATTTGGCCTTCAGCCTTGAAATCAATCTGCAGTTGCTCTTTTGTGATGCACTAGTTTGTTAGGCCTCCTTTCCTCTTACTGTATTTATAGCCCACAAATCATGCACATTGAACTACTGTCTTTGTATACTCTGATAATATTTTTTATCTGATAACTCTGATAACCTAGGTAGTGCGTACCTAGGTGAACAAAATACTCTCCTGAGAAAGCAATGACTGACAAGGTTATTGTTACATATGCCCCCTCCAGCCTCTGCCATAGGAAGCAGGAGCAAATCCCCACCTGTGGTCATGCTATGCTCCACGCAGACAGATGAGCTTCAAGCGAGTTTTCCTCCTCCCCAATGCCCCCTTTGGTTCAGTTTTAAGGATTCCTTTGACACTCACAACTTCTATACATTTCTAGAGGTGTGAATCACTGCAGACAAGTTCTTGACCAAAAAAATTCATCAACCGCTCTAGATTTGGGATAAAAGTGGCATAGCAGCACTCAGGGTAAGTGCGTGTCACACCCTGAAATCTGGAGCAGAGCAGAGCAGAGTGCTGGCGTGTCTGTGTGGAGCAAAACTATCTCCCGTGGAGATGTTAGCTTGGGTCCTGGCAACAAAACGCCCACGAGTGCATGGTGCTGGGCCTGATGTGCCAGGCCCTTTCCTCAGCATCTGTCCTTTATCCTCACAGTACCATGGAGAGGCAAAACATTGTGACACCTGGGTTACTCAGGTGCCAAATCTCAAGTGATCTATTAAGATGAGGTATATAAACATTTCTGAATGAAGCTGGTCCTGAGAGATTTGATGAAAAGTATGTGGCAGGGCTGTATTGAGACAGCAAGTTCTGCCTGAGTCCTGTTCCTGGAGTCTCAGGAGCATGGAGGCTGTAGAAAACATGAGGCCCACAGCATAAATAAAATGCAGGCTCTTAATTATGGCCTAAGGGTTTGCTGAGGAGCAGGTACTTGAATGCAAGAATGTCTGGTCCCAGAGATCTGACCACCATAGCATTTGGGTTTTTATAATGTCCATTAAAGTATTTGGTATCTGTAATTTATATTTAATTCTTCGTACTCTTTTTAGTTGTGTTCAGTTTTCTCTAAAGTGGTCATTCAGAGCATCCTCCCTCTGCCATATGTTTCTTATGCCCCCTGGTTCCTTGATCTCTCTCTCTCCCCTTTCTCTGTTCTTATGTGTCTCCTTTTTTCCATCTGCGTTTTCCTCCAGCAGCACCCATTTCCTGTGGGTTTCATCACCACCCCCACCCTGCTTCCATCTGTTGAAGAGATCAGCCACGAAGTTAACTTGCAATTACACTACCCGTGAAATTACACCAACACTTCCAGCGGCATTACTAAGCATTAAAGTGAACAACCCAGTGAAATTAATGGGAGAGGGGGGGAGTTCTCCCGTCTCACAAACGGGTTGTTGGCACTCTGAGGTAGGTAAACCAGCAGATTCTCAGGTATATTGAGGTCCTCTCCCAGTAGCCTAGAGAAGCAGAATTGCTTTCCAGCAGCCCAGCTGACGCTCTTCGCAGCCTGCATGTGCCGTGCCGCAGGCGCGGGCTGCGACTGACACCTCTGACAGAGCAATAATGGGAATTGACGGTAATTTCTCTGTTGCAATGGTCAGGTACATACAGCTCTACCGACTTGGGCTTTTTAATGTGATAATTTCTCTCTCTGGTATGTAATTTAATAGATTTGTCAATGCTTGTCCGCTGTGCTTCTCCCCCTGTCCCCTCTCCCAACACAGAAATATAGTTTTACAGAAGTCTACTTTCACGATTATGGCAGCAAATTAGAAAAGCAATTTGAGTTCCAAGGTTAGATGAGCTGCATATGCCAGCAATTTTCACAGTTACTGTTTGTGGTATATTTAATATTGTGAAAATTGCAATTTATTCTATCGTTTTAGTAATACTTTAATGGATCATTCGGACTGATGTACACAGACCACAGTGCAGTGGCATAAAATGCTATAGCTGCTTCCTCAAGATTATAGTTATATTTTGAACAACCTAATTAGAAATTAACTGTAAATTTTATGAGTGATTTTCTGAGATAAGAAGCAAAAGTTCTCTACCTACAGTGAGTACTAACACAGCATTTAACTAACTGCTACATACTGAAGGAAAATAGCTCATGGCTGTTTTTTGCATAATGGGTCTGATTTTTTCCTGCTTTGTCTGTAATAGAGAACTTGCCTCTCTGAGAAAGGCCTTTATCCTCAGTTCCAACTTTATGGGGATAAAACTAGGGTGTAAATCAATACTTAGCCACTTAGCCAATGGTAGGCCCATTCAGCCCTTAGCAAGGAAAAACTTAGTTGTGTGCAAATTTTAAGATGCTAAATGAGACATCCCTGTTTCTGGTATCCTGAGATCATCTGTTGATCAAACAACCCAGAATGCTGAGAACTGGGAGGAGCTGGGGTGACTGCTCATCCAGGTACCCTCACCTCACGTGGAGGACAGCAGCAGATATTAACAAACAGAGGTTTACGGATGGTGTTGGATGGAAGACACCTCCTCTAATACAAACATGCTTGTGGGAATAGCTGCATTTTTCCCTTGCATGTTGAAAACCTTACCCTGTCCTTTATGCCTGGTCCCTGAAGGACTCACACCTGGACTACGTAGTACCCATCAATTACAGGGATGGCACTTCTTCCCCTACAGAATAGTACAGGAGATTCCTCCCACCCTTCAGTTTCTGTAGGAAGTGCACAGATAAGAGCACTACATGGTCTGAGTCGCAGGCAAAAGGGACTGCCTTACACGCTTTCAGAACATGCCTATAGCTGTGTCAATGCTGAAGGCAATGCAGGCATATCCCAATCAGCATTTGGTAACTCAGATATGGATAGCAAGGTAGCTCTAGAAGTGTAGTGCTTACCACAGACTGCCAGACCCTCTCAAGAAGCCATTCAGGTTTGAAGCCAGCGGATACAGAGCTCTATTGTGAGGATTACATGGCTCCCCTACTTGAGGCTAGATGTTGTAAAGCTGATTCAGGTGACCTAAAGCTGAGTCTAACTATCTTGTGACCATTCACTGACATGAAACAAGACAGGAGAGTCCAAAAAAGTAGATGGGTGCACTCACATAAAACTGAGAGAGGCTGGGGGAAGATGCAAGATCTAATCACAGGCTCTAGACTAGGTTTAAGAGTAAAAAGCCAGTGGGACTCAGAATCTTTTTTTTTATTATTATTATTGTAAAGAGATAAACAACTGCTTCCATTTTATGAGGATTTCTGATGGAACACTGTCTATAAACCTGCAGTATTTTCTGTGCTCCTATGAGGAAAACCTAGCTGTAGGTCTTCGTTTCACAAGCATATCGTTCTGGAAGATGAGAAGGCTGCCTGGGCAGAGGCAGTAGGAGATCCCCTTTCTAAACCATGTTCTTGAAGTACAAGAATAGATGGCCCTCAACACTATGAGAAGATCTTGCTTTTTCCGTGTTTCATTTTCTAAAATGCCTTAATAGGAAGGAAAGCATAAAACCGATATTTGCTCCAAGATAACAGAAATCCCACAGTCATCATCTATAGTACAGTTCTGTTTTCCAGGGACTGGAAATAATATCATAACACTTACAAGAGGTAGCATAAAGTCCAGGAAATTGCATAATGTATTCCAATGCCTTCAGATTCTTCAAAGACTTCTTTTTCTTTCATTTGATAAGCTGTAAGAGAAAGAGAAAGTTCTCAAGGGTTATCTGCTCTTCCACACGTGGGGCAGAAGCCTTTGTCCATGAGAACCACCAGCCAATGATTATCATCAGTGCTTACAAAGGAATGAACCTCAGTCTAGAATGGAGACTCTCTTTAGTTTGATGAATATGACAGAGAAAGCACTAGCAAATGCTCAGTGGCCAGGATTTTGCCATTTTCAGTGGGAAAACACAGACAAAATATGTTTATTTCCCAACCAGACTATGCTACTGTTATGGGTTGGTTTCAGTTCATCCAAAACCAAGCCCACAATATATGAAGTAGTAGTATAATGGAATTCATAAACTTGACAAAATGTATCCAAGCAACTGTTTAAACTTCCCCTCATGTGGAGATCTAGGAAGACAGTGGTCAAGGAAGAACTTGGTAATTCTCCATTTTGACAGGAAAAGATGGCTGGAAGAAAAATACGCTTTTCTATATCTGAAGACTCTTAGTTTTAGTGGCTTTCTACATGGAAGGTTCTCATCCTAACATATTTTTTCTTTATTAACAAGCAAAAATGACAGAATAATAGGCAACTGCAGTTAAAAAATTACCGGGGGAGGCAAAACAGTGCTTATAATAGAGTTATTGCTGCAACCTTAATTAAGGCATAGTGCCAAATACCTCTGTGATGAAAAGCAAATCAATGTAATGATGCTTTCCCATTACCTTTTTTTGGGGTAGTGAAATGTCACAAAATATTTTGCACACTTCCTACTGGAGATCAGAGCATATGGGACTGATATACAGCAGAAAGCAAAAGGATTTTGGTTAAAATCAGTGCAGCAGACAGCTGCTGGAACTGAATGTTAAAATATACTTTAATTTTCTAATGACAGTACAAGATAAAGCATTTATTGACTATAAAACTTCAAATATAGTGTAGAATCTGACTAGATTAAACACAGTATATCTACTTCCCTTTTTCACTCAAATAGATATTGTTTCACCTAAACGGAAACTGTTCTGTAAATTCAAGCCATGCCATTTAGTCTTGTGCTCTAAGGTCCTACATGTTTAAAGTGATTAAATCCACACACACTGGCAGCTGAAGAACCTATCTCTGTTGAATTCAGTAGGCTTTTCACTGGCTCTCTTTCAGCAGGTCACATCCTGAGCATCTTATTCATTTTTTCCTTTCTCTATACTCAGGCACACTTTCAGAGGGGTTTATGCACACAAGGGCTGATTAAATACTGAGCAAACAGTTCAGAATTTGGCTGCTTTTATAAATAATGATTCAAAGGTTTGATTTAGCTACAGATGAGCCTGAGCCACAAAAAATTGCATCTGGATCCTAACTGTGTCAACTCCCATGGCAGAGATTTTTTTTTCCCAGCCAAAGCTTGGCCTGAAAGTTCATGCAGAAAGACAAACTGTGAATCAGAAGCCTGTATCAGTGCCCCGGGTGAAGTGCGTACCAAGATAGCCTGCAGCCACATGCCAGCTTGCCATTGACCTTTTATCTGCATAAATAGTCGTGACCTTTGGGCTGCTCAAATTAGTGCTAGCTGCTCGAGCAGTCAAGTATCACAGCCCTCTTCTGCTCAGGCTGCATCCCTTTGCCTCTAACCTCTCGTGCCGTCTCCTTCACTGGGCAATGAAGGCAGGTGGGGGCATGAGATAGCTTTCTTACCTCTGGGAACATCCTCTGCCTGGAGGAAATCCACCACTAGCTTCACTACATCAACTCAGTGACACCAAGAAGACTTTGGATTGATACTTTTCTATAGGGCACAATAAATCTACTTCTTGCTGTGGCTTATTATCCCCTCTCATTGTTTTTCATTATGTTTAAAGTAAGTCCTTAAAAGAGTTTTAGAATCAAAAGAGATAAGTTTTTACCAAAATAGTTATTTTTTTACAAAGTCTCAAAGTGAATTGTTTTGCTTAAAAAGCAAAAGTAGATCCCTAAACCACAGACCTCTTTTTAAAATATAATCTACTTTTTATTCAGTGGACTGTATGCTGTATAGAGTTTAATGCCCATTATTTTCTCAGTAGACCAGAGCTAACATGCTCTCTCATGTAAATAAACATTTAGTCCTATTTCAAAATGCATCACTTGTGTCCCTGAAACCACAGCAGTTTTAATTATTTTTGGAAATAGGTATTTGCGCAGTTTTACAAACACATTTTTTTCCATTGTTTAGAAGAGGTCCTTTGGTTGTTTAAATGACAACATTGACTAGGCCTGAGAGTGAAGAAAAAAATTAGTGGGATATTTTTAAGGATATAAAGCAAGAAAAAAATATACAAACATTTTCAAGGTTCTCCAAGACACTGACTGCACAGACACATTTCAAAGGGAGGTCACTATGCTTGAAATTCTCTCCAAAGCTCTTTTTTTCTGGTTTCCTTTACCCAGAGCTTTTTTCTTTTTGTTTCAGTCATGGGCTACCACAGCCCAAGTGTATTTTTCCACATGATGTACATTGTCTACATGATGCTTTAAAAATTCAATTGACTCTCATTATGCATTATGGAGACATTTTTAATTGCACCAAAGGAAACAGTCAGGCAGGTAGTGAGATAGCTAATAGGTAGTCGCTAATCCCTATGTTTTTAAAACTAAATTTGGGGGAGCCATCCCACAAGTAAGAGTGGGAGCTGCATGCTGAAGCACATGCCTGCTGCCTTTGGCAGATGTGTTGGAAGGGAACTAATTGTTCTGCTGCATCATGTCCTTCAGCTCTGCACCAAAGTCTAATCCACAGTGGTCTGGATGAGCTGAATTTCACCCCAAATTTTGGGAATATCTTCTTGCTGGAAGGGCTGCAACCTCACCCATATGGTTCTCAGCCAGCCACCCAAAAATCAAGCATCCCGCCTCTCTCCCAGAAGGATGGTTTGGACAAGGGTTACAAGCTCTGAGAATGGGTTGTGAGGGTGCAAGACCTGCAGATGCATCTTTATGCTGTGCTGTTGCACTGGGTGCAAGAGAGGACAAGGGCTTCTCTCTCCTATTTCCATAGCAGATGCACAGAAACAAGACCCTCTGACTTTCAAAGTCTATTTGCCAAATTACAGCACCTCCCTTTTTAATTACACCTGAAAAAGGGCATTTATATTTCACCAGAGAAGCAAAGGAAGGGAGGGCCAAGAGGGCTGCTCTGTATCCTTCTCCTCTGGAGCCATGCAGCCCCTCACACACAAGCTGCACTACACACAGATGCAAAGAGGAAAAATTTGAGCTACCCTTGCTGAAACATTGGCAGCACATCACTGTTTACAACTGGAATTCTTGTTGCTGGCTTTTACCAATGACAACTTAGGACAGGAATAGGAAACTTCATATGATGATGAGGTCAACTTTTTTTCACTTTTCCAGTGCCCCCAGATGAGCACAAAGCTGCTGAATTAAGATTTATGATTGCTTGCAAAAAACTGAGCTTGAGCCACGATTTTTAGCTGGCTCTTTTGTGCTATCTTTATAGCACTTCCAACAGCATACTCATTTGAGACTTTTAAAAGCAATTTGGGCTGCTTTCATTTGGTTCTCATTTCAGCTCTCCCACTTGATTATCTGTGCCCCTACCAGAAGCAATTTTAAGTTGACCCATTCTCGAGTAAAGGAGAGGGCACTGCATGTGTTTGCAAAGCATGTTTAACTTGTGTCTGTCATCTGTGATTAATATTAAATCTATTGAGCTACATAAATAAGTAATTCACCGACAAACCTGTCAAACTGATAGTAATTTCTTCCTCTCGGAGTTTACAGCTCACAGGTATCCCTTTTAATGGTTTCATTTCCTTTTGTGTACCTGGAGATAAAAACAGTGAGCTAGACAATCACGTGTGGAAGATGGAGGGCTGCTCAGCTGTTGTTCTCTGCCTCCATCCCACTACACACAACGTACATAAACGTGCATAAAAAGGTAGAGTGGGAATAAAATAACCCCTTTGCATGTCACTTCTGCTGTGGTGGTTTGTGCATGAGAAGTAGACTCCTGCTCAGCCTTCTGGTTTGGATAACAGCCCTGTAAAATCATTTCTACCAAGAGACTAGGGGTCTGGTTTTGTTCTCTTGCAAATAAAATTAGTGGAATTATATAAGCGTAGAATCAGGGGCAAATGAAAGGAAACTCTTGTTTGCTCTTTTATATTTTTATGGAGTTGGGCTCCTTAAACACAAGTAAGGTGATACTCTTGTAAGAGATGGAAAGTGTGTCAACAGGCACCTGGCCTCAGGAGGACTTGCCATGGCACTTCAGACCTACAAGTCACACGCTACACACAGATAGCTGGGTGTTAGAGAGTGATTTGAAACAAAATAAACTCCTCACACTGGGAAGCCCCTTGGAGCTAAGCAAAAGGAAACACTAAGTGCAGGGGATCTAGATGAAATCTCATCCCGTCTTCAGCTTGTCCAGGTGCCTATATCAAAGTTGTAGAGAAGGATCTCCTTCTAGCCAGGGATCCTTTCCTAAAAATAATTGTGTAGGACCTCTCCTTGGAAGCAGTGATGGGATTGCTTTCCCTCAGAATCCACCCCAGCACCAATTCAAGCTGTGTGCTGTGCTGGTACTGGGCTAAAGCTCTTTATCCGTGGGAATTCTCCTCCCTCCACCATTAGCTGCATATGTAAAACCCTGCATAAGCCATTGTAGTCTCTGGGATCTGGGGGTGGAGAGTGGAATGGAAGAAATCTTGTAGCAGAATATATTTAGCTTCCATCTCTTCCAGGATGCTCCTTCACACCTCCTAGTTAAGTGCATCTAGCCCTGTACCAAGCTGTGGAAATGCAGAAGAACCAGCAGAGCTTTCTGCCTCGATGAAGGGGCTTGGATTTATACTTCAATAAAGCAGCCTCAATACTGAAAACATAAAAGGCACCTCCCGAGTTATTTGAAAAAAAGATGTTTTAAACACAGTTCATGGGAGAGAACCTAAGTTGATTCCTAATGCTATTCAGCTACAATGAAAGTAAAATTTTATGTCTGTGCAGAACTCAAAAATTGGATCGAGATTATTGTCTAAAAGGACAGAAGTCACAATTGCTAAGCTGTCTTTTGCCTGTGATGTTTGGTCTTTGCTGTTTTTCACTTAACAAGGCTTCAGAACTTACTACTTGGCCTTAAGGAGTCCTACTGGAAGCAGGGAGTAACCAGCTCGTGGTTATCTGCTGTGCCTAAAACGCTGACAGTTTGAAATGAATGTCATTCATTGTAACTGCTTTGACTGAGGCCATTTCATAAGGAAACAATTAAGAGGCAGAAAACATAACAAAGGAATGAGAAGAAAGATCAGGAAATACAAGCAGATTGGATCATTCTCTAAAAATGGATACAATATTTACTGTTGGTGATTATAACAAATCTAAGACTTGAATTACCAGCGCAGAGCTGACAGGACTCTGAATTGTAGATTTTTTTTTTATGCAGTCTAAGAGAAACAGTTCAGATTAATGGTGAATGTAAAATTTAGGTCTAGCATAGAACAAAATCTTACTTATTTCATATATGTGCAGAATGGAGTCCGAAAATAATGCGTTAAAAAAGTGGTCACAAGGGAAATTACAAAGAAATAAAAAGCAAAGAGGAAATAGAAAAATATGTGTGCATTTCCTTAAAAGCAAGAGGAAAATGTAAATGTACGTTTAAGAGTACTCACAGTGATTTGCACATCTTCCTGAGACCAATCTAAATGCAACCTGAAACAAAAAAAGGCTAAAGGACAAAATCCATTTCTAAGAGGTGTGTAGTCTTACAAGCAGGAAATACCCAGGAGGAGGATTTTTTTCCCCACTGCGATCAGAGAATAAGTGAGGCAGTTACTGGAAAGCATATATCTTAATAAAGAATTCTGAAACGCCGTTTAATACTTCTATCTGTCTGAGTAGTTAAATTAAGAGAATATCAGTGCTGAGTGATATGAGATAGAGAAGACACTGTCAGTCATGCACAGCTGGGAGCCAGGATGTCCATGTCCCTCAGTTCCTAAAATAGTCATCTGTATCTGCAAGAAAGTCTGGAAATCACTTCCAGCAGCTACCAACACTAGGTCTCCTAGTGCCACACTGCCGTGCCTTGGTGCTGTATGCACACTCACACACCAAGTTTCAATATGTCCCGAACTTGAGTGAATTTAACTTGAACTTGCACTGTTTGGCAATAGCAAACTGCCATGCAACTCCTCCTTCTTCACCTCCACTTAGGAGACTAATTTCTATTGCTGCTGAAATCAATTTGAATTTTATGACTGGCCTCACTGGAGCCAGAATTTGGCTTAATTTCTGGATGTAAACAGCTAATGGTTTTTCTGACAACAGTTTGGAGCTGGTGTAAAGTCAGAGCAGAAATATTTAATGCCTTGAGACTGGCATTAAATGGTGAATGGGATTACCTGGTGAAAGGGATATCAGGTATTGATGCCTTCATTCCTGTTCTAACACCCTGCTTTCCTTAAATAACAGTAATGCATAAGTGGAAGTCATCTCACTTCTTCAGAAAGCTGAGAACTGTGCAAATGCCCACTAAAACTCACCAACATACGTTGAGCAAAGGGTTGGTCGAGGGGGGAACCTGAACCTCTGAAGACCATTACAGGCCTAGTATAGTGCCTCCACTTTCATCTTCCACCATCCTGCCTTCCCTCCACTCCCCTTGCACCTCCACAACTCCTCACAACGTGATAATCTGCAACTGCACTTGTCTGAAGCTATGAGATCTCCAGAAAGCTGTGCTCCCAGGGTGGGTGGCATTTGTCCACAGCATTCTTTTTCCAGCTGCTTCTCCCTTTCTGGAGCATCCCTCTGAAGTAGTGGTCACACTTCCTGCACCACCTGCTGCTCATCCCCAGGCCACTGGCTTTGACCACTCAGGGCAACCACTAAGGTTGCCAGCTGGAAAACCATGCAATTCCCAGTCCCTGGCAAATGGTTTTGCCTAAGCAATAATGAAGCAGAGCATGGCAGGAGGCAGGCAGTTGAGAGGAGGGATAGCTCCACACCAGATGTGAGCTTCATCCATCTGCTGGACACAGAAAGCAAAGGTTGCAGAACGAGTAATCCTGGGCATCACTGGCATTTTAGAAAGAGCTACATATTTGACATAGTTTCTCCAGAAGAACCCTTTAAATAGTAAAATCTTTGCACATTTGTATTCACAGTTCTTACGATTTTATTTTTAAAGGGAATGTAGGTGTTCACGAACAGTGGGTGTGAGACTGACAGCACTAGACCAGAGCTCTCCATTTGCAGAATAACTGCTGCATTGACTACTATGCTGCAAACTCCTGTAATGGAAATATCAAGGACTGAGAGGGTCTTCCCATCCATATGCTAATTTTGCCTTTGTCCTTGCTGCTGAAGCTGTAGCAACTAAGATGGCCTGTGGATGAGTGTGCTTGGTTGTTTAAACACTTGCTAGAACAGACACAAGATTATCAGTCCTTCCAGACAGTAATTACTTTTAAGCTTTAGCAGCGCATTTGGATTTTGCACTCCATTTCACATGACATCATGAGTTCTCTGACACATCCTTAAACAACATGTTCAGGTCTATTTTTTCTTTATTTGCTGACTTTTTGTTCTTAAATATAAACAGTTCAGGCTCAGGTACTTGTACCTAACTTTGGAAATATCAAAGGTCCTTACCAGTTTTCCAAGAACTGGGGAGACACTCATGAGAATGTATGCTGATGTGTCTTAAAGAAAACACACTTTTGTCCATAGCTGGAGTAGCTTATGCCTCTAAGCATCATTTGGTAGGCAATTCTGCAAATGAGAATGATCACATTGGGCTTCCAACCCTTTCTTGCACTCCAGCCCACTTAGAAACACCTTCTGAAAGAAAACTCCTTGGCAGAATCCCTCTGACCGTTAAAAAAGCTGCCTCTTATTCGTTATCTGTTCCTTGAGCCATCTATTCTGCACATGATAAGGTCAAGAGTGGTGCTAATACAATGTAGAAACTTTCCCTTTCTTGAGGTATGCCAGGTATGTTACTGAATTGAGTTCCTACATTTTCTCTGTGGCTATAGGAGCGCAATTCCCTTCCAGCTATTTCTCTGAACCTTTCAGTCCTCATATGTTAATGTGCTTTGGCTTTTAGTTCTGGTTATTAGGAAGGATTCTTCTTTAGCATATATTTTATTTCTTTGCTTCCTTTGAATAATTTAGGGTCAAGTTATAATTTTCTCTCACTGTCTCTAGGCTTGTGCAGAGAAGAGCAAAATTCTTCTAATTTTTATCATTCCCTGCCCTCACCTCCAGCTAATTGGAGTGGTTTTGTTAATGTGTTATGCTTTTATGCTCAGCCCTCTGCTAACTGTCTTAAGAGTTGTTTTTGCCTTGCAAAATCAGAGGTGAATCAAAGCACCATGCCAGTTCTGAATGCTAGGGACAGCATACACAGGAGCTGCCTGACACAGAGTCCCTCTGAAGGTGGCATCTCTCTGCCGGATTAGAGGGGCTGTGGCAACAACTGGAAGAGACCAGTACCTTGGACCTGCCTTTTCATGCTCCACCTGGGAAATCTGATTTCTGAACTTAGTTTACTTTCACAGTATTAGAAACGTCTGTTATACAGACAGAAATTCCATTATAAAATAAATATAACTGCTGTTATGCAAACAGATCAGGCCCAAGGCTCTTAACTAACTTTAAACCCAACGACTAGATTTGGGATGATCCAAGGTCTGCCCCCGCAGAGAAACTGTATGCAAACCAGCACCACAGCCTCTTGCTGTGAGGTCATCTAAGGCTCCTTGTGTGCTCTCCTGATTTTATGGTGGGATCTTTTGTGACGAGTTTTGGTCCTACCTTCCTTCAGTTCATGTTTTTAAAGTACCTCTGTGGCAGTGAGTTCTCTGAAGCACCATTTTCTTTCCTTTGAATCGACTGAGAATCTGGGATAAAGTGACTGACTGACGTGACAACAAAGGAGCGAATGTCATCAGGTCCAAAGGATTTGATACGCTGTTAGTTATAAAATGTACTCGGACAGCCCAAGTTCTGTGCCAGATTAATATTTGATGTCATGGGACTTGACTGGCTGTAACTGAAATAGTTGGGGCCATTGTTGGGAAAAGTTAGTGCTCATAGGAGCTGACAGCCTGACAGCCTGATCTTCCATTCACCCAAAGGCACCAGTTGGAGTGAGCAGTGACAATGCAAGTTTCCCTATATTTGTAATCACTGATAGGTCAAATTCTCTTTGCAACATTGAAGAATTGTGTGTACTTTCTATTAAGATCCAGAACTTTCCTTCTTCCAACAGTTTAGAGGGTATCAGTGCATGGCTCCTGTCAGCAGTGGCTACTCCCTCTCTCTCCCTCCTCCCTCCCCAGCCATCTCCACCTCTCCCAGTGCCTGTGGCAGCTGCAATAGCCTGCTTTCTCTGGCTGAGACAACACCTGTACCCTCCTGCCTCAGGCTTCTCTGCTCATTCAGTTGTGGCAGGCACTATTTAGTCATGGCCACAATCAATGACAGCAACCCATACACCAGCTAAAGGGAAGCTGGAAGGGTGCATACCCAGTTGGTGTAAAGGCCCCCAACCAGACTCTGAGGAGAGGATCCCAAACCAGGATCCACTCTTCAGCACCAGCCTTTCAACACCAGGAGGATTCTGGCTTGATGCTTTGCAGGACTGTGCTGGGCAGCACATAGTGCTAGGGGAGTGCAGGGAGAGTCACATGGGAGGACAGAATTCTCTCCGCGTAAAAGTCATGCATTTGCTACCATTATTTGTTAAGAGTTATGAAAACAACACCTGGGATGCAGATGTGTAACTCTGGCCCTAAATGTGTATGTATGAGGCCTCCTTACATAGTCCATGCATCTATATAGTAGTCCAATATGCTCAGAAATCCTGAACGCTCTCACATGAGGAGAAAACAATTATGGCCTGCATCATCAGTGCTGTCCAAAATGGCCCTGCTTTGTTTGCCTGCTGATCCTTTGTCTTAAGTTATTGAAAATCTCTCTCAACTAATGAGGACCACATGCCAGTGACAATTCATTTAAAAAGGAAAAAAATGTTGGTGTTGTGGCACATAAATATTAAAAAAATAAATAAAATAAAACTTGGCACTGTAAATGTAAATCAGTGGACTGCAAAACTGTATTTGTCTTAGCTGGATAGAGTACTTGATGAGTTCCAAGCTGTTTGCCCCTTTCTGAGGAGAGATGGGGTCTGCTCCACTTGTGCTGTAATTTCAAGGCTGTTGTGAAGCAGGACTTGGACCTCTCCACCTTCAAAACAGTTTATGCATGCAAGAAAAAATTAATCTCACAACATCTCACAAGACACAAATCCTAGCCCTCATTTACAGAGAGAATGAAGGGAGAGTGGATATTTTGTCTGAAGCCATGAAGCAAGTCTCTGTTAGAGGTGAAATGTTTGGCTCCTGATCTTATACTGAGAAATTCTGACTATGTCCCTCTTAAAATTCTTTCAGTATCTACAAACTGCAGGCAACATAATGTCTGAATAGTAATAATTCGTGATAAAGCACTGTAGTGGCTAGCAGGTACACAGTTGCCCTGTAACCACCTGAGATCTGGCTAGCTGTAACTTTCAGCTCAGGATACCCAAAGGTGTCACAGGGGACAGTGTTGCTTCTCATGTGCATTACACCCAACTGCTGCTTTTCTGCAAATCTGATTCTTGTTCTTTTTATAGAAAGCTATATATGACCTAAAACTCTGCCCAATTGAAATATATTTACATATGACCACATGGAACACATAAATATATTCCTGCTATCAACAGCCTATTATCATCAACATATCTACAATATCTGGTTTTTGTCTTCTTCCGTATTCTGTAACAATGATAATGATGACTATTCATATTAGACATAGAAACAAAAAACATTTATTACACTTTCTCACTGACTCTAAGTGCATGTAATTACCATACAAAAGCTAAACAGTTTTAAGTAGTTTTATCATACTCAATTGCATTGGCCAGTAGCCCTCCAAAACTCCTTTCCCGGGTTTTTCACATGTACAGTCCTGAGAACTGAAGATTTAATTTCATTTCTAGAGACTGTAGTTTTTCAAACTCATCACCTTGAGGATGGGAAGCCCATCAAATGGACTTTGCAAGGTTGAAGGAGGCTGTTTTCAGATTTGAGAAGGTACAACTGGACAGGAAGACTGGGAATCAAACTAAGACCTGTAGCCTCTGACAACAGGGTAAGGGGAAAACTAAAAAGAGCCAACAGGTATAATGAGCACATCTTTTTCTTAGAAGTCTGAACAGTTCATGCTCAAGATTAGAACAAGGCAGTAAAAGATCATTAGGACAAAATATAAAGAACCTGGAATTTGTGACTTTTAGCACTGTGGCTTTCCAGCACTCTGTGTGCAGGAGAAGCCTCTTCATGCCACCCACCAGGACTGTTCTACCAAAGAGCCATGCCTTCTAAAATCGTTCTCAAAGAAATTTTAACTGTATGGAGTATGCTATGCAAAGCAGTTATCAAAAAATAGATACCAGTTCTGTCCTTGATATTAAATAGGATCATTTGGATTACTGCAATCAAATATTAAAAAAAAAAGCATTCATTATGAATGTGAATTTACATCCCTTCAGTTGTAGAAATGATCAGAAGAATATCTCATTTAAAATTAGCATTCTTTAAGTAAGACTTAAAAATTGAATTGATTGGAGAATAATAGCCTATCCAACTCTTTGCTGTCTTCAACTCTCTTTAAAATAAGAACTTTTCTTAAGAAATATATAAATCATTATTATTTTCAGCCCATATCAGTTATGCAGCCCAAATCAGTTTGGGGTGAGAGTTATTTTGGGTTGGTTCCATTGGGATAAGAATCCTGATGGAGTTGGTAATTCCTTACAACACTGCTCTTGATTAACACTGAATGCACAAAGCCCTTTGTCCTTGAACTTTTAAAATCAAGGCCAAACAAGAAGGAAGGAGTTTTGTTTGCAATTCTGTGTGTCTTTTGCTTGAAAGTACTGTGCCCAAAATCCCTCCCTCAGGTTTTGTTTGGGGTCACAAACATGTAGACTCCTCCAGCTACATGTGAGCTTGCTTGGCTCTCTGTGCTATTTCTGTCTCTCTTCTACCCCCCAAGGAAATTGCTGCCTTCGAGTTAATCTCTACCTGAATGGATAGATTAGTGCCTAACCAAAGTACCCTGCCGCTGGGTTCACATTCCTAAAGAGCCTTATGGGGAACCTGCCCAGCTCCAGTTGTTTAAGTGATCTGTTAAGACAAAGAACGGTTAATTATTCTGATCTCACTTGAATAGTTGACAATAGTTGCCAGCTCAAGCTGGCAGGATGTATTGAATCCTTTCTAAAACACTCTAACCTCAGTCATCACTGTTGTAAATGCTGTCCCAGCATCACCTAGCTCAGCACCAGAACTTCCCCACACTTTATACACCCCTCTGGCATTTCCAGACACTGCTTTTCAGAACAAGAAGTATTAGGCCATGGAGAACTATTTGGGGCTTGCCTTTGCTGCTTCTGCTACAGTCTTGACTTTGAACTAGTATTATCTGTGATGTCTTTCTGACTGTCTACATCTTCGCGACATGCATAGCTAGATACTGCATTGGAAATGCTGTTAAATAGGAACCTACCTAAGGCTCCTGAGTTCCATCATGTCCAGATGCCATCTGCCGTGAATTCAAGCAATCCTCAACACCGCCACCCTTGCACCACGCTGTTCAGGCTGGAGACAAAGCCTTCAACTGCCCTATAGACAAAAAGGAATTCCTTTTCTTCTTCAGAGGCTACAGAGAGGGAAATATGTGTTATTATGGTAGAGGAAAAGGCTATCTGCAATGAATGGACGAGATCTGTCAGCATAAAATGTTCATAGAGTGTATGCTGAAGGAAAGGCAGATTATTTTTTGGGGATCATAGTCCTTCTTGGTACAGTGGGTTTTTTTACTCAGTTTCTTGTCTGCTGGGAAGCTAATTTCCCTTATATTTCATAGGAAATGTGCTCAGTGGCAGATCACAGGCCAGTCACTCGACTAATGCCAACTGACATCTGTACATTAAGCTAAACCAAGTGATCTTTGGCCCTAATAGAAGCAAAAGTCAACCATAGGTACACGGTACATATGCACACAGAAAGCAGCAAAACAACCCCAAACCACAACCAAACCCAGGCCACACCACTCCAAAGATTATAAGTAACTAAGCAGAACAAAGGTCTATCCCCAAATGCTAAAGTCCAGTGTAAGGGCTTTTTTTATGGCTGATAACATACCGTGCCCCACTGTTAAGGACTTTTTATAGCTGAACAAAACCTAACAATCAGTTTTTATGTAGCACATCTCATAAAAAAATGAGAAAGTGCTCTACCAAGGAGGTCAATATGGTTATCTCCATTTCTCGGAAAGCTGAGCAGCAGAGTGGAGGTAAGGTGCCTAAGGAGCCTTACTTAGAAGGCTATAGGAGTGCAGAAGACTTCTCCAGTCCAAAAGTCAGAAGTATAAAGGGGCCAGCTGTGCTTTACTCAGGTAGTTACACAGTACTCTGTTTGTAGTAGGAATGGAGCAGCTCCACCGACAGCTCTGGGAGTGCTTATGGCAGCCAGGTCCACCCCTACGGTAGGGGACAGGCAGACGAACAAGTTCCTGCACCGTCAGCTGGAGTATGAAATTACAGCACTTCAGCTGCTTTGCAGAAGCGGCCACGCGCACACTGGGCCGCCACCGCCGAGGCCAGGCCGCTCAGCCTTCAGTGAAGGCATGTAAACCACTCCGGCACAGGACGGAGCTGGGGAAAGGTTAGGAAGATAGCCAGGACGGGGGATTTACTGAATCTATCGCTGTTCAGCTACCCCAGCGGGTGCGTCCTTACCACACTTCTGAAACTCCTGCTCACCTGGGAGCAGGGACCCTGCAGCACCAGTGCCTAAGGCAGACCTGGCACGGTGTTTGCAGCTGCACAGGGTCACTCTATGCTCTGCAGAGCAGCCCAAAGGACAGAGCCAGTCTCCTGACCCCATGGTCCTGCTCCTGACTGCTCTGGAAAGCAAGTAAATGACACAGCAACGTTTATTTTTTGATTTAACATGAAACATGTCACTGGCCTGGCTCCCTGACCCTGGTTTCCTGCACATTGCTGGTGACTGGAAAGCCAACCTCTTGCCACAGAATTTAGAGTTCTCTACTAGGGAGAGAGGACTGGATCACTCTCTCTTTTCCTTCTACATGTGCAGGAAAAAAGCCCTCTCAGGATAACTTATTAACCCAAATTACCTTCCATTCTTATCTCTTCCTGCTTGTGAGTCACACTGACGGGCTTTCAGCAAGACTTTCAGAGCCCTGCAAAAGTCCTCCGCGTGAATTTTCAGACTTGGTGGAGACTTGCCAGTGCCCATTCCTTTACTCGACCAAGCAGCCTCAGCAAGGGAATCTGTAGTGCAAGGCTCACCTCTTCTGTAAGGGTTCTCCATTTGCCTCTGGTTTACCCTGCATGAAACATAATCTGTGGTTTCCACATTTAAACCCCAGCAACATCCTCTGCAGCCTGTTGGTCAGTCTGCCTTTCAGCTCCTCGTGGGAAAAAATCTAGGAGCAGTCAGTCTCCCAGTAAGGATGTATATAGCAGACTATGCATCTATATGTTGTCATGGAGATGGCATGGGATTTGTCTGAGGGTTTTGCCAGTTGGGTTTCTTCTGCATCACACATTTGTACAGAAATTAGGTTTCCACAAAAATACAGTATCCAAAGTTTTCCAGAGCATAAGTGGAACATAGATCTGTGTCAGAGCAGATCAGGTCACCTTATTCATGATGACTTGCATGGGCCTTAATTTTTTATTTTCCACTCAAATTGCTCCTGATTTCATATCCACATAACATCACCGAGTTCAGAGAATTAAACTAGTGAAAAATAATTGAGGGGGGGAAAAAAGCAGGCCATATGTTTCAAAAGAAAAATTTTAAAATGCAAGATGACAGAATATAATAGTCTTCTGCAAATACAGTGAGACTCAAAGAACTGGTCAGGGAATTGGCCTTAACAGTTAACCTGAGACATCTGAAACCTCCATCATTTTCCACCTTTGCCTGATGTTTTTAAGGTAAGCAATTTTACTGTTTGTGTCCATCTCATTTTTTTTCTATTAATAGTCTCAAAAATTTAATAAAAGTTATTTTTAGTTAAACAGCAATTTTTTTTTAATCTTTTAAAAGGAAAAAAATGAATCCCTTTCCAAATTGCACCTTGTCCATAAAAGACAAATCATGTGGCCCACGGAAATCATATTCCAAATAGCATAGTAAATGCCTGCAATCAAAGAGGCCAAGGACCTAACAGCTAATTATGTAATCAGAAGCAAACCTGAGAAGCCACTACCAGCTCACAACCTGCAGACCATCTTCAATCTAAGCATTTAAAAAAAAAATCATCCTAGTCTTTCTAGATGACATCCTTATGGTATAGCCTTTTCTATCTAACCACACAGTTAAACCCCTCACCTTATCCAAGCTCTCATCTAACTGTGCTAGATTAATTTTCTAGTTGTACTTGGAAATGACAGTCTGCTGCTGGCCTCCTTCTAAAGTTATTCAGATTTGAGATTACTATAGAGAACCTGCTGCATTTTCATACCACTGCTGGTACAGATCCACCAAGTGAGAAAAGCTGCCTTGTGTCTGTTGACATGAATAATCCCCAACATTTTTAATATAGGCTGCCTTTGCCAGTTGGCTGACACTTGTGCTATGCCATGAATAAAAGCTATTTGATGACAGTTGAGAAATGGACTCAACACTCGGTGCTGTATTTCCTCTGTCCTATGGGAGCTGGTCCCCATTGTTTGTCATGTGCAGGAATGTAAAGATGTTAAAGGCAATTTGAACACAGCCAGTGGTGACGTGGTAGTGTAAGGCAATGTAGTACAGTGAGACTGCAAACCTCTTCTAATAGCCTGCTTCTTATTTATGTTCCTCAAATGGCTTCGCTGCCTATAGGAAGTTTAAGTCACTGTAAGTTTAAATGCATTTTTATGCATTTATCTAGCTAATAAATAGTTAAACAGCAATTTTAAAAAGTGTGCCTTCACATCAACAGAGAAAAGATTCTTCTTATTACCCAGCTAGAGAGAGTTTAAAGTTTTCTGTGTATCATATAAGCAAGGGGATTAATAATACATAGTTACTTACTCATGACTGCTGCTCTTCAAAAGATCCTTGCGTTTGTATCTGTGGGGTGTGCACTGTAGGAGAACTACAAATTCCTGGTGTGAAGAACATGCACTCCAGGAAAACCACGTGGGACAACAGCTCAGGTGACTCTGCATAAGTGTATGTGGTGTCTTAGTGCTAGTAAGGAAGAAAAGATAGGAATTTAAGGTAGAGTTGACATAACAAGAGGAAAAATGTTTGTCTGACAGCAAATGGGAGATGGATTGAGGTGTCTGAGGAATATGAAGAAAAAAAGCAAGATTGAACCATCTAAGAACAAGATAAAATGAGCAGAAAGGAGGGATGACTGGGAGAATACAGGCAGGAGGAGGAGTGGGAGGAACAAGATTAAAGGCAAAGTAACATTACAGAGGGCCTTGAAGGGGAAGATAGGGAGATTTACATAGAGGCTGAGAGAGACCTGAAATCAGTGGGATTTGAAAGATGGGCTGGTGTGTCACAGCTGTGTGTTTTTTAGCAGGAGAGCAAACAGGGAAAGAAAGTCAGAGGAGAGGAAGGAGGACAGTGCTGCAGCACAAACATCTATTGCATAGATAAGAGTCTTTTGAAGAGGGACAGTGAGGGAAAGGTAGATTTAAAGGACATTTAATACATCCCAATACTTAGGAGACAAAGCTTACAGATAACCCATTAAAACACTTTTATTAACAGAAATCCCCAACAGACATCATGAAGTTTAAAGGCCTGGCAGGAAGAGGCAATACATAATGTACTCAGCAGGCAAAAGTCCTTGAAAATATGGTCATTGGCCTGCAAAAAAAGCAACAAGGGCTGTTATCCTCAAACAGAGCATTCACTTGATTCCATTCCAAGCTGATGCTTGCCATGGGTTTTGCCCTCACCGATAAGTAATATTAAGCACATTTACAGGTTAGTCAAAGTTTTCTCTCCACATAAGTCCTTATCAGAGTTTTCTCTGCAAACCTGACCCAGCTGAGAGAGGTGCTACTCACTGCCCTCTCCCCTGTTGTCAGATCAGAGCTGGAGCTGACAAAATGCACCTGCCATAACGACTCACCACTGACGACCCTGCACCTTCAATATAAAGTTTCAAGCACCTGATATTAGTGTGACACTGGCGAGCTCTGCTGTCTCTGTCTGCAGGCCTGGAGCTTTGCAGAGCATTGAGCTTCTATAAGGCACCCAAGGAGAGATGAGGTGGCAATGCTTCATAGCTGCCTCTGGGAAAGGAAGCCCTGTGCTCTCCAGCAAATGGCTGAGACAAGAATCTGCACAAAACCAGCTGAAACAGCACGAGAAAAATCCGAAGCCGGAGAGAATTATTTCCCTCCCAGAAGAGGGAAGAAATGGTGTGCATAGAGAGTGTCCTGGGGGTTATAAGGCGAGACACGGTGACACAATGATGGCATAATTTCCAGATGATCTGTCAAGCAGAAGATGCTTTGGAAAGCTCTGTTAGCCAGATCAGTTTTCGGGATGTGTGACTAACAGCAATAGGCCATAATAATTATTTTTTAAATGTCACTTCAAGGACCGTTTTCTCCTGATTATCACTAGAGCACATTTCTGGCACAAAGTGCCTCTGTACAGTGTATCTTGCTAGTATCTGAAGCTAGCACTCAGCTTTAGGCAAAGATGTTAAAAACAGTATAGCATTTTGCTCTTGCAAGGGAGAAATCTCACAATTAGGCCATCTGCTACCTTGCACACCAGTGACAGCTTGTCCTCCTATTTGCTGATAGAACCAGGGCTGGCAATTAAATAGCAGCCCTTCCTCCCTACCCTCCTCCCAACAGCTACACCCCTGCGCCACAGCTCCTCTTGTGCAGCACCTACCAGAGATTTCCTTCTTCTCCTGAAAACAGACAAGCTGCTGCACTCCCCTCCTTTTGCCTTGTCTTTGGCTCCCTTGAGCCACAGCACTAGGTGGGGACAGGCTGATGCTGATGTTGTAGAGGATGAAGTTACAGCTCCTAAATGGCATGATGCTTATTCCCACATCATATTAACCAGTCACAGTCAGAAGGGAGCTGCCTCTGCACCTGATGTGAGTGCTTTCATGTAGCTTGAGCCTCCTCGAGACAAATCTGTTTCAGAGTAGACTGAGAAAATGCCTGATAGGCCACACTAATTTCAGCCTTCCTGCAGGCAGGAAGAGAGGGTCTCATTATACTCTGTCTCTACAAATAACTACACCCCAGCATAGAGGTACCCACCCCACCTTGCAAGGCAGCAATCAGCTGTGGTGGTGTGGAGCTCAGCACTGCTGGGCACCTTCACACTTCCATCAAACCCAGTTTCTCTCAGAGCCTGAGCAGCCCAAATCCACATCCCTGCTGTACACCACAGTCCCCTGGGCAGAGTTCACTGGCTTCTTCTCCTGGGTGCTCCCTGCACAGCACTGGCACCATGTCATGGAGATCACAGCTCCTGTGTTCTCCCCTTCCATTCCCTGTGCCCTCGCCCTTGCTGCACTCATCAGGCATCCTCCTGTCCTCCACCTCCCTGCAGAAGACAGCTCTCTTCAGTGGGCTGCTGGTAGATAATGTGCCTGACTCATAATGACTTGCTTTCTTTTAAAGAAGATGGATATCTCTGAAGTTGGTGGGTTTTGTGTCTCTCAAATTCATAATCCTGTGATTGTGATGATGTTCAGCACTAGAGTTACTACAGCACAGAGGCTGGATGCAGCGGCACGCGCGGGGCTGAGTGCCAAGCTGGGAGCAGAGAAACACACTGCACATGCTTTATAAGCCACAGAGACCTGTAGCAACGCCGTGCTCCTGATCAGATACCACACTTCGCCTTCTTTCGGCACGTCAAGAACATTAGTGTGTTTTCAGCAGGACCCAAAAACCCAGACACAAAAAGGCAGATGTGGGGCTTAGCTTCACAGTTACTTTTCCTCTGACAGCTCTGTAGAAAGCTAAGTATTCATGCAACTAATTAGCACGTACTTCTTTAAGGGGGCTTGTCCTCTTAGTGCTAATCTGTGCTGAATGGCGATTTTACTTATGGTGCTGGATGAATTCACCTGTGGGGCAGCTGATCAGTGCAAGGGTCCCTGCATCGCTCCAGTGATGAAATGGGGCTTGCTCTACTCTGTTCGGTGAGCTACGTTTCCCCTTGCTGGGCTCTCCGGCACGGACAGACATTTGAAACGGGAGGTGGTCTGGGTCGATGGAGATGATGTTTGTCATGGGGAAGAGGATGCGTTCCTGCTGCCAGGCAACCAGCGCTGCAGCGCCCGTGCCAATGGCTGCAAACACCTCTGCAGAGGCAGGTCTACAGAAGGAGCGGCCAACCCGGGGCTGCTGAGGGGGCCCCATCACCCCACGGAGCCGGGGGGTGCCACTGCTGCTCCCCCAGGGGACTCCTACAGAGGTAAAGTGGGGAGATGGGGCTGTACCCCCTTCCCTGCCCACCTGAGGGTCCCTATCCAGGAGCCAGGGCACTCAGGGAGCCCAGTGCCCACTGCATCAAAGGAGACTTTCTGCCCTGCTTCCAGCTGCAGTTTTGGTCAGTGCTGCTCAGTGGGACATGCCCCTGCAGCACAGACCCAGGTGAGAAGGTTTGCATGGTAGTGCTGCGTGGTCTGCAGGGCTGTCCACAGAGCCTCTCACTCTCCCTCAGCACTCATCCTTAGGTGCATGGGGGCATTTCACACCTTCTGCAGACAGCTTTCCACTCCTGCCCATTCACCCCTCTCCATCCTGTGGCATAGCCTTACTGCAGGGCTGGCACAACCCAGGTTCTCCATCACTTGCCCGATGTTCACGGTATACCTGTGCCCCAAAGAAACAAATCCCTTCTCATCATCCTCTCTGCTGCATCTTCAGCCACTCTGGCATGGGGTAAAAGGAGCAGAGGGAAGAGGGACCCCAGACTGGTGTTGGTACCAGTGTGGGGAGGGGGTGCAATTGCTGTTCTGGCTGGTGAGCTCCAGAGGGAACTCCTATGCTCTGCTCTTAGCCTGGGTCATGAATTTCTTTCCCCAAACCCTGCTGCAATCTGCCACACACAGCTTGTCAACTGCGGATGCAATAGATTTCACTCATGACAGATAAGCATACACACATATGCATGAAAAGCTCATTGAGCAGGATTAGGCCAAATTACCATAGTGTGTGCAAAACAGCAGTGCCATCCGCTGAAAGCATGCCCTTTGCTAGCTCATTTTGATGAATGACTTTGGTTTCTCCCAGACTCTCATCCCAGCAATATTATTGTGAATACAACATGGAGACTTTTGTATTAAGCGTTTCAAGACGTTTTCATATAGTGATAGTTAGGCCTCTATGATCTAATATTTCCAGGGGAAATTTTTGTTCAGATTTTCAATTAATTTTTATTTTACATTTTAGGGGCAAGATACCTGGAATGCCAAAGAACACATCTTGTTCCATCCCACTTGGTCCTTCACAGACAGAGTTTGGCCATAAGTCCAGTGGGAAATAGAGATGACGTACTCTTGCCACTTTGCACAGCTTAAACCCTAGAAATAGCAATGTGAGTTGAGAGCAGGTGAAGAGAAAGGCAAGATCAGATAATTTATTGCAGCTCCCCCCTATGGTAGTTACAGATAAATCTCCATGGATTAAATGTTACTTGCAGAAGTTTGAAGCTGGGGGATAGGAATCGTGTCCCTTTTGGATCCCGGGAGCAATTTACTTCCAGCATGGGCGCTGCAGCGAACAACAGAGCAGCAGTGATAGCGAAGGGCAGTTCAGAAACAGCATTTTCTCCTGAAGATCCTTCCCGTTTTTCTCTGCATCTCATCACTTGTGCTTGTAGCAAGGCAGGTGGCATGGCTCCCCAGTGCAGATGGCTGTAGGAGATGGAGCACTGCCTCCTCCAGTGCCAGTGGGTGCAGGCAACCAAGTCTCTACCAGCCCAAGCAGCCTGGACTGGGAAGCAGACTCTGTTACAGTCGTGCGCAATGCTGCCTGATGATTCACTCCAACTAGCTTTTCATTCCCTTGGGAACACAGAAGGGAGGCAGGGAGAAGATCAGCACCCCGCAGACCCAGTTTCCCCATACCTAAGCTTACCCTTGCCCTTACTTAAGAGGAGTATGGAAAATCTGTCAGAACAAACACCATTAAGGATTATTGTTAGAATGTATGAAGCAAGGACTTAACCTACTGCCTTGAACT